AAGGGCCGTTTTGTGAGCTGCAAAGGACCGCAGCCCCGCATTGATCTACTATCAGAGATTGACGTGTGAATCGCAGGACTCACCATCGAAGCATTGGGAGCTAGTAGCGCTCTCCCTTCTCAAGATGTTCTTCGTCCTACCTGGAAAACCCCATGCCTGTCTGTTCTATTTTTCAATGATGTGACAGAGAGCGAGAGTGACATATGAAAACTGACCGGTCGCAAATTTGGACGTATGTCCAAATTTCGAGAGTGCTCAGATACCATCACAAGGCGCGGAAGGGCGATCGTGGGCCTTGGTTTGATTGTGGACGTAACGAGAGTTGTTTGCTTGCTAATAGCTGTTGTTGCTGGCAGTCCAACCATTTTCAAAGATTTTCTGAAGAGCAAAGAGGCGGTATCGTTTATTGTGACGCATGTTAGTTATGAGTTTGAACTACTCGCTGCTTTATTGACTACTTTCTGGCTATTTGATTTTTTATGGAACGGTCCTTCAATGTTCTTTAATATACTTCGCGTGGGAAATGTGTCGTGATGGCTTCAATCATCCGTGGCCTCACTGCTTGTTACGTGGCCTTGGGTACACAATCAGCGGGATCTATTATATTCGCGTGCACCTTCTATTTCAGAGCAAGTCTCCTACCTCATTCCCCTTTTCCATAGACGACCGTTCTCTACAACCCACATCGATGCCCATAACATGATCATACGATAACGCTCGGTGACGCTATAACCGTACTACCTAGGCGGTCAATGCTGTGCCTTTAGATGTAAAGGGATCGGCAGCCACAGCTGAACAACATCCATGTGCGACAGGGTGGGCAACGGGGCTCGTGACCGCTTGTGGATGGATCCCTGTTGCTCTGCTCTTTTCACCACTGACCAGGATTTAAGTCTTGAGGTTGAGTCAAATGGATATTTTCATCAATAAAATCTAATCTTCTCTACGTTGAAAATGACGAGACCTGAATTCCGGGATCGATACTGTTGACACTGTTCTTGGTGGAAGAGAGAAATGTTGTAAACACGTTGCTTCGAGCATGCTGTCGATTAATGCTAGCGATCCGTCCAGAGGAGACGCCGGGTATCGGTTAAGCCACCGGCATTGCGCGCTGTTCAGTACACAATGCTACAGTCCCCATCGTTCGAGCATCGGAGAGACTGTGGCTTAGGTCCGTTCGATTTAGATGAAAAGTTGGGCTTGGCGGGGCTAACGTCTCCTGGCTGAGCAGATCCTGAAAAGGATGCTTGAGCATTTGGATAACACCTTGACGGTGTAGTCGCAGGCTGCTTTCGGGAGACGCAGAAATTGATATCTCAGCGGAGAGATGCCGGGTCGTTCCCGATGTTAGTGGCGATGATAATGCCTGAGTGGACGCACTGGATGACTCGTTGCCTTCGTGATGGCATCGTAGTAGCATGATGGCATACTCGGCACTGTTAGGATCGGGGTACCTCCAGTTATTGTGGTTGTCAATCCCTGACCGTAGAGAACGTCCATCGGGCTGACGGAATAATACTGATGGATCAAGACACATGGTATCGTCTGGGACAGCAGCCTCTTCATCGTGATGCGAAACCAAGGAAGACTCTCCGTGAAGGGATGGCAAAGGAGATGGAGGACAAATTGCATAGTCCAAACTCTGAGATTGCGGATCATCTATTCCAGCCATCTCAAAGTTGAGAAGTGCTGTAATAGGTGAGAACGCGATGACGTCTGCGGCCAGAGACGAAGGGAAGAGCTCAAGCAGGTCTTGGTGAGCTTCAAAATCAGGAACGAAGGCTAGTTCCTGACCGTCGACTTCAGCCGGTCCGGGTGGCAAAGGTATCTCGTGATGTTCCTCGATATTGTCGTAAGCTTCTTGGAAGCCATCGATATATTGCATGTCGTACTCATTGCATTCCTCCATGAACGGGAACATCTGGGTATTGGAATCCATCATTGTGAAAATATCAGTAGATGTCTGGTCGTTACAGCCGACGAAAGACGGGAGCGTGTCGAGATAAGCTAAACCGCAGCTATCTGGGTCGTCTCTCTCGGATGGGTGTGTTCTGAGAATTGGAGCGGCTTCCATTAGTTTCGGTCTTTCACTTCTAGTTGTCATCCTGATTTGCTTTCGGAAGCCAAAGAGTATGTCGTGCTTGTTCTCTCAGGATAAGGTATCGAATAAGGTATCGGGGATACTGATGGCTGGCTCGGATGTCTTGGGTTCGGGTAGATGTGCTGTTTATTATCGTGTTGAATTTCCCTTTGACGACATTGCCTGGTTATGAGTGCAGCATCACGCGATACTG